AAAAAAAAAAAAAAAAAAGAGAGAGTTTCCTGTATTGGGGAATTTTCTGAACAGAGGAGACAATCTGTTGAAGGTGAGATTCAGTGGTGAGAAAGGGGAATGATTTCCTAGCTGAGACTTGACAGGACATTCCTTTCCAACCCTTACCTGGTATTTGAAACGAAGGCATCAGATCTCTTAGAGTAAGGCACCTCTAATTAATGAACATACACCCGAGGATCTAATTAAAGCACAGATATTGGCTGAAGGGTCTGGGTGAGACAAGACTGTGCATTTCTAACAACCTCTCAAGTGACAGGGATGCTATTCATCTGTCAACCACACTGAGTAGTAGGGGTTAGGAAAGACTTCTCTGAGGCTGAAGGATGAAGACAAGTTGACTAAAAGGCCTTCTAGGCATAGAAACCAACTTATGTAAAGGTCCTGTGGTGTGAGACATAAAGCCAAGTGGCTGGAAGGCAGAGAATCTGGGGGAAGAAGTGAAATGGAACTTCAGAGAACCAGTCATCCATCCAGCACCATGTGTGAGTCTAGAATACTTCCCATGGTGAAGGTGATGAAGCAGGAAAGGATGCAATCAGACCTGCATTCTGAGAAGATCCTTCCATCTACATCATAAGTAATAGATGGGAAGGGCTGGGGATGTAGCTCAGTGGTTCTGCCACCTGCCTCATAAGCTCAAAGTCCCAAGTTCAGTCCCTGGCACCAAAAAAAAAAAAAAAAAAAAAAAAAAAGTAATAGATGGGGAAAGGGGTAGAAACGAAGTAGATGTGAACACCAGCCCAGCATTAGGAGGCTCCAGCAAATGTGTGCAAGTGGTAGAGGAGAGAAGCAGAATATCCGAGACCATTCAAGAAAGAAAATGTACAGGAGGATTTGACATAAGGAAGAGAGAAGTCCAAGGGTTGTCGCATGAGCGCCTGGCCATAGCTTCTTCCTTCCCTGCAGAAGGAAGCACTAGGAGATAACCATGTTAGAGGAAGGGAGAACATGAGTTTAGTCTTAGTCATGCTCAGGTCCCTGTGCGACATCCAAAGTAAGAGGTCCAACAAGCGGTTGCTTCGTGGACCTGGGCTCAGAAGGCAGGCAGGAGCTGGAGATGCAAAGCAAGGACTTGGGTGTGCATCGTATGTGTTGGTGGCACTTGAAGCTGTGAGCAGGGTGGGACGCCAAGGTGGAAATGAGAGTGAAATGAAGGGAGGGCCTCAGACCAAGTCTCTGAGGACTGCAGACACTGAATGGTGGTAAGGAAGAGGAGGATGTGCTTGCCACGAAAAAAGAGGCAGGAGAAAGCAAGCCAGGGGAATGTGGGACTTACCAGCTAAGGAAAAAAAGTGTAGAACGGAAGAGGTGGCCAACAGTGCCAAACGCTGTTGAAAAGTGATGGAGATTCAACTAGGATGGGTGATGAAACCCAGAGGAGGCAGCTGCTTGTAGAGGTCTGAATCGGAGCACAGCGCTAAGCCTCCTAAACGCACTAGAGCTGACTGTTTACACGCCTGCCTCTCGCAAGGAACCTCCCCCAAGGTGGCCTGGTCGGCCTTGTTATCCCCAAAGCCGAGGACAAGGCCTGGAACACAGTAGGCACTTAATAACTGGATGTACGATGGGGAAGAACTGGAAACAAGAGGAACCTCTGGCATCTGCCACGGCTACCTACTATCCTTCAGCCTTTTTGTCTTTTTTACCGCAATGGCCTGCAGACCCACTGAGCAGACGACAGAGCCCCCAGCCCCTCCCTCCCCTGGGCCCTGGCCCCCCTTCCTCTCTCTGACGAAGAGTCTGGACTGAAGGTTCTGCTGACGTGGGAAGGGGAGGAGAGTCTGAAGGAAGGGGAGGGGAAAGCAGCGCAGAAAGCGCAGAGACCGAGGAGGCGTCCCGCGGCTGCAGAGCTGCAGAGCGGGGTCTCTTCGGGCTCTCGGTGTCTGGGCATCCGGCGCGCATCTGGGCCAAAGGACAGCGCATCCCTTCGGCGCGGACCGGGAGGCCCCTGCGGTAGGCAAGCTGGCTCCCCGGGTGGCCACCGGGACCCCCGAGCCCAATGGCGGGGAGTAATTTCTTTTATGATTTCATCTGTGTTTGGCTTTAAGAATAGTTACACCTATTATCTTTTGATATTTCAGGGTTTGTTTTGTAGCATTTGATGTTGAATCCCTCTGGGATCTATTTGATTTAGGGTGTAGATTTGAAATTGGGATCATAATTTTTTCAATGACCAGTATTCCAACAGCAAATTCCAATGTCATTTATCTCTTGCTGTTAAAAGCCATCTGATCATACAGTAACTCCCTCCCTTTTCTCAAGTCTTGACTATGCCATCTTACCTATTTCTTATATTTTTGAAATCTAATATAGCTTCACATGGCATTAATTGCTATAAATTATTTTTCAAAAAACATCGTGGCCATATTT